TAGGTGTATTCATTGCCTTTTTCATATTAATGCTGTGCGCTTTCATTGAATATTTCATTAGGAATATTGGATGCTTTCATTGTACTTTTCATAATTAATGTTGTGCAATTTCAATAAATATCTCATTCCTTAGGTCAGGTGTATTCATTGCCTTTTTCATAATTAATGCTGTGCGCTTTCATTGAATATTTCATTAGGAATATTGGATGCTTTCATTGTACTTTTCATAATTAATGTTGTGCAATTTCAATAAATATCTCATTCCCTAGGTCAGGTGTATTCATTGCCTCTTTCATAATTAATGCTGTGCACTTTCATTGAATATTTCATTAGGAATATTGGATGCTTTCATTGTACTTTTCATAATTAATGTTGTGCAATTTCAATAAATATCTCATTCCCTAGGTCAGGTGTATTCATTGCCTCTTTCATAATTAATGCTTTGCGCTTTCATTGAATATTTCATTAGAAATATTGGATGCTTTCATTGTATTTTTCATAATTAATGTTGTGCAATTTCAATAAATATCTCATTCCCTAGGTCATATTATGGTCCATCCAATGGGTCATTGGGAGGGTGGTCACATGACCAATTTCCAAAAATGGTAAAAAAACAAAAGTTGTAGCTCTTTACCATAGCTTCCTGAATCAGTTGGAATTATGTCCTAAAGTGCTTCCATTGTGGAGATATGAGGTAAAAGGTTTTCAAAAGCGCCGCGTTTTTTTTTGTTTTTTGCATTTTTCTATGTGAAAAGAACACTAAACAACATGATTTCAACAGATTTAGAAAGCTAAGAGAAGGGGCTACAACTATTGTATCATGGGAAATTTCTCCCAAAAAGGAAGGTACATGCCCTAAAAGGGTAATTGACACTGACAGACTACAAAAGATTGCTGATATACTACAAAAGTAAGTTATAGCCTACAAAGTTTACTAATAGACTACAAAAGTTGGACATAGACCACAAAGGTCAGACAAAGACTACAAAAATTAGTAGTGTCTGCTTTTCTCATTACAAAAGTTAATAGTGTCCGCTTTTTGAGACTACAAAAGTTAGTAGTGTCTATTTTTTCGGACTACAATGGTTTGTAGTGTCCGCTTTTTGAGACTACAAAAGTTAGTAGTGTCTGCTTTTTCAGACTACAATGGTTTGAAGTGTCCGCTTTTTTCATTTCAAAAGTTAATAGTGTCCACTTTTTGAGACTACAATGGTTTGTAGTGTCCACTTTTCTGACATATAGTATGTAGTGTGGTTAACTATGTATATATAGGTCATTGGGGATATGATTGAAGGATGGGGATGAGTTGACATTCTGCCACTTATGAATAGTTGCTTTTGATGTCAGGTCCATGGCTGTTTTCCATACTTGCAATCTGTCATGTCTTTTCACATGGGAAGCCACTATCCTATCTAATCAAAGGGTGTGCTTCATATGAATCCTGGATTGACGTTGAAAAACAGACAGGACCAACCATCTATTTAATTCACTTTTGGTACCTTTAAATCAATCTACTCAAGGCTGACCCCAGTGGTGAAGGTTTGGACAATGACAAATGGTCTTGGTATTGAAAGACATGACAAGTTGCATTGG